AGAATTTATCGAAAGTATACGTATGCTCGCCAACTGCCCTTCTGAATTATTCATGCGTTATTTATTTTGTACTGACGTCGTCTCGGGTCAGCCACTGGAGAAAACTACCAAGACTGTATGAGGACGTAAGCAAAATACGCAGACAGGAACATTTGAACTCAAAACGGAAGATCTCTCGCCCAACCCCGTGCTTCGCAAACTGTTTGAGCATAGACTATTTTCAACAGATATCTACCTTAAGGGGAACAATAAATTATTTTCAAAGCGTAAATATGTTCTACTGATTGAATGTGTCATAAGGTGAGCCAAAGTTGACAGTTATCAACAAGATATCTTAATATTTGATAGCATACTCTATACGTAAATCTTGAAGAGAAGAGAAAAAGTGTCCCCTTAAGTAAACCCGTTGGGGGATAAAATAATGTCACTCAAGACTAACCGGTGTTTGCGTGCACGTACTGCGTTGATAAAGTTCTTGAGGTCCAGTTCCTTCGATTCTTTTGACCGGCATTGCATATACTTTTCCGGCGTATACTTTCGATTAAATCTAAACTGTTTGGATAAAAAGTGTATTTTACCTTGCAGTTTTCACAGCTGTTCCTATCACCTCAGTGCCCCAGCGTAAAGAATCTTCCGTGCCAAGCTTTAAGATATATACTTGGTCCGAACATTCCCGATTGGTCAACTCGCTAGCCAAAAACCGAAAGACTAACATATGTTGTTCAGGCCCAACACTTTTTTTCAAACTCAACCCGTGAACATTGTGTATGCATCGCAAGTCTAAACATTCGTCTGGGTCCTAATAAGGTAAAGATAGCAAAATATATTTTACCGTTTCGTCATCGATCCAAATCGTCAGGTATTCGTCATCAACTATCTCAAGGTAACAGTCCAGAAATGTGGCACCGGTTAGCCGGGTAACCGTTTTAAGTTTTTGCACAATTTCCCCATTAGGCATAGGGCCTTTACGCTCTAAGAGGGTGGCTATAAACTGGGCGCGGATCTTTTTATTCGTTTGACGTTCTTCTGAAGCAAATAATGAAAATTTGTAAGTATTTTACAAATTAACGTAACATAACGTGGAGTGGTCTTAAAAACATTAAAATAACAGTGAATAGTAAAGTAAAAGTTATCGATGACGGGACTAGCGTATTTTCCCTTTCGAAGCAATACTTCTTCCTCTGTGTAAAAAACGGGTGCTAGGTATTTGACTGCAAATTCTGGGGACAAAATCAAAACTTAGACTGCAAAATACCACTTGTTTACGTAGCTTAAGCAACACTGTCTCTCCATAGTTAGTTAGCCGTTCATTATACCTAACAGAAATATGTGCTTAATAAATCATTCAGTAAAGCATTGATAGTCCAGTTGAAGTACGTACTCCTAACAGACACAAAATACGCACATGCTAATATATACATATGTATGCATATACTTTGCAAAGGCAATTTGATTGGTTCACGCACACTCTTGCGTGAATATATACACGTATATATTAAAGTGTTAGATATATTAACATATATATCTAGCCAGTCTCTAGCCACATTTCAAAACTCTTAGCTAGGGCACTACCCGGGTCAAAAATCATATAATTGTATTACATATACAAGTGGAACTGCCAAAGTTAAGGAGAACGGGATGGCCGTTTCTAGCTTATTAGCCGTCATCAGCCTGTCATACCCTTACCCATGTGTGGATCACCCGGAATTCGATCCCGGGACATTTGGTTATTGGGTACAACAATCTACGACTGAACCGCAGGTCGGTTGCCTTGTCGATTGTGATCGAGAATATGGTAGAAGTAGGGTGTACACCAACCTATCTTGTTAGGGAACAGAGTTGTCCCGTTGTGCCTGGAAACTTGTTCTAGAACAATTGTAGGTAATTCCTTATTAGCCATCACCAGCCTGCAATACCCAAGCCCACGTGGTGCGCCATGAGATGTTCGAAAACGGGTGATCCACACCTGGGATTAATTATAAGTTGCTTATTAGGGCTGATACACCAGACTCGGCCATCCCGGTCTCTCTTTCAGTTCCACTTGTATCTATAATGAAATTTTATGATGTCTGACCCGGATAGTGCCCTGGCTAAGAGTTTTGAAAGGTAGCTTAATAGTTACGAAGAGTGGCTATAAGATCAGCGATCTACTGTTGGTTCGATTTCCGAATTTTAAACAACTACTCTAGCCTATAGGCAGCAACTCTGGATCACTCGCCGGCAGCCCACTACAGTAGTCGCCGGTTACTAAGCCCACCTCGGGCCCAGACCAACT